ACTTTTTGTTCGTTTGCTTGTTTTTATTTTTTTATTTCTTTGTTTTGTTTTGATATTTTTTTTTTTTTTTTTTTTTCTTTTTTGATTCGACAGAAAAACACAGTAGGATCGTACGTACGCCTTTAGTTTTTCTTTTTTTCCTTTATTACCTTTTTCATGTACTCTTTATTTGTTTTTTTTTTTTTCCCTTTTACTCGCAAAGAAAACAATTTATTTAATACCATTTCCATATACTTATTTTTCTTTTGTTTTTTTTTTTTTTTTTGCTTTTTACAATAATCGAAGATATTTCCATTGTAAGATGGAAGGATGGGGTGATGATACTCGAAAAGTTCTTCAAGGATGAACGAGCGATAATCGCGACAACGAATCGTCCTCGTTCTCGACATTCGATGTTTTGCGGATTGTAGAAAATATAATATTACAGGAAGGATCATTAAAGACATTAATGCTTTGCGGGACAGCAGATGTAATAAATCTTAATCGAAATAGTATGTACATACGTGTTTATGTGGTGTACGTAACGATTAGATATTACAGCTTCGTATGAGGGGATAATTTTTTATAAAAAAGAAAAAAGAAAAAGAAAAAAAAAAAGAAAGGAAAAAAAAAGAAATCGAAAGAAAGAAAAAAAAAAGCAAAAGACAAAAAAAAAAAAAAAAAGACAAAGGACGAGGAAGTATCAAATGGAATTCACGTTGGAGGAGATTCTCGTGAGTTTCTTTTCTTTTTTCTTTTTCTCATTTTTTTTTCTCTTTCTCTCTCTCTCTCTCTCTCTCTCTCTCTCTCTTCCTCTCTCTTCTCTTTTCTCTTTTCTCTTCTATTCTTCCTTAGGAATAATCTGGATAATTAGTGAAGACGGATCCTTGGACGTGTTGATTAGAATTGAAATCCCCGGTGGTAGATTCGAAGGATGACGTCTGCCGTTGTTGATAACCATATTGTGTGTTCTGTTCGAGAAGATGTTGATGACGGGCCAATAAATGTTTCGTCAGGCTATCCTTGTATCTTGTACGATGGGGACAAAAGTCACACTTAAATTTTGGATCGATGCCGCATTCAAAATCGTGATGCCTCTTCAAATGATGTTTATGCTTGTAGGTCTTCCCGCATGTCCCGCATGTATGCTTCAATCCGGTCAATACGTACTTCGTCTCGGCTGAAACAAAAAGATATATTGTTTTTCGGTTAATTAAATAATTCTTTACAATCGTAATCAAGTCGATTTGTTATCAGAGAGAGAACTTCCATCAGTGAGAGAATCGAACCTTCGACATTTCTTCGAGAGATCCAACGTACGTATTAATTTAATATTTGTCTGTTCACTGCTAAAGTTTTTTCAAAAAAAAAAAAAAAAAAAAAGAAAAAAAAAATAAGAGAGAAAAAAAAAGAAAGAAAAAAAGAAAGGAACAAACGAACAAACCAAACAACGAACGCGAACGAACGAACAAACAAACGACAAAGAAGAAGAAGAAAAGAAGAGACGACACACGATATGGAGGAAAAAGTGAAAAAAGAAAGGAGATAAAGAAAAAGATGAGAAAAAGAGAGAAAGAAAGGAATAGAAAAAAAAAAAATAAAAAATAAAAAATAAAAAATTAACGAAAAGAAGAATGACAATATACATAAGAGACACATATATATGAAAAGGGATAATACACGGGCGTGCCCACGTATAACTTTACAAAATAAGAAGAAGAAAAAGAAGAAGAAGAACGAGTAGAAATAGAAGAAACATAGGAAATAATAATATTACTAATAAAAAAAAGTAGAAGTAGAAGTAGAACTAGAAGAAGAAGAAGTGACTTCGATGAAAGTAATAGATCCTTCGGGATTTGAATGAAAACTTTATTAAATCTCCATTGATCATTTCATAAGAGGTTTGGTTTGTGGGGTGACAGAGGTGGGGGGTTGGAGGGGGTGTGGAGGGGGAGGAAGTGGAAATCGAATGGAGTAAGTTGAGGTGGATCGAAAGAGACAGAGTCACGGTTACCAAGCAAAACTATCACAACAAATGGGATTTGGCAAAGTAACAGCTTTCGCGGTAAACGTTAAATAGTCTTTTTTGTTTTTTTTTTTTTCTTTCTTTTTGTTTTTTCTTAAATGATGAGGAGGAGTAGAATGGGATCGGGGTGGGGGGGGGGCGGGGGAGGGTAGAAGAGAGGAATACCGATGTTTCTAGGTTTAAGTATATAAATTTTTAAATAAGTTCGAAAGCATAAACGATGATATCGAAGGATCATTAGGAAAATATTGAAAATGATTAAGAGAATGTTAAATAATTATATATCAATTGGTCTTATCTTCTTTCATGTTTTTAAATTCGTTGTTGAACGAGGACAGACTATTTCACTATCTCACTATCTCTCTCTCTCTCTCTCTCTCTCTCTCTCTCTCTTCTCTTTCTCTTTCCCTTTCTCTCTCTCTCTCTCTCTCTCTCTCTCTCTCGCGCTTTCTATCTATCTAATTAACTATCTATCTATCTATTTATCTATCTATC